CACCTATTTGTGAGTAACGACAGGTTACCCACGCTTCCGATATCCTGAGCATAGCAACTACTCGGCCTATACTAGTAGGACTCATGGGTAGATATATTTATGCATTTAGTTTCTATAAAATTCCTGTAACTTAAATGCACATCATATATATATATTCAGTGATCATTAAAATAGGGGTTATGCATCGAGGCTTGCCTTAGGTAGGCGATGGGTTAGCAAAGTCAGCTCCAAAAGGCTCCGGGGCTCCCTCCTGCACAAGGATCTCCCCCTCATACTCCTCGATGACTTCCTCGTACTCCTGTTCGTCGACGGGCACGAACTCTACCAACTCATGATCTACATGCATGAAATGATGATGCAACACTTAGTAACATAGCACAACAACTCTTAAAATAAAAGTACATCTGTCTAACTACTAAGCTAGTGCTACCGACCATGGTACTAAGTTATCTATCGTTACCAATAACAAGTATGAACTATAGCATTCATTATTATAGCAACTACAGGTATTCTTACTCCAATTGTTGATTTACGCTATATATGATAAAGCAAGGATAATAGCTACTCTACTTATCAACTTACTCTAGGGCTACAAAATTTACAGCAAGTACCTAATAATCTAGTGAGCCTACTACAAAATTTTCATATCTATAGCTATCACCAATTTTCCACAAATATTCCTACAAAGATTAATCTACATAATACTAAGCTCTTTAGTTTCAATTTATGAACCTACCATCGTCATAGTTAACTGTAATCTAACTGTACTAACAAGTAGATGGTAATTTTGCGAATCTAATAAAATTGGTTTCACTATTTTTGGACAACTACACAATTTACTACAATTTTTTAAAGTTATGTTCGAAACTATATTGAATAAACCTTCAATAATTCACTGAAATAGGAAAACCGAATCCCTTCTTGCGTGGCCCGTTTTCGAATGGCTTGGCCCAACCCCGAACGCCCAGCACTCCGGCGCAGCCCAGCCCGCAACGCTCGCGCTCTCACCCGGGCAGCGCACCCGTGCGGCCCAGCGCGGCATGGCCCACGAAAGGAAAACCCACGCGAGCGCTACATTAAGCAAAAGAGCCCTCGGGTTCCAAACAAATGGAACCGCAGTCCATGCCAATATTCCCTTCTCTCATTGACTAGCATTTAACCCCCTGGTTTGCTTCAAATTTACAACGCGACGTCGTTGGCTGGACTTAACAGAGACCGTGACCCTCCCGACCTAACGCCGGCGAGCATGCACCTCCACGGCCCTGATTCATACCACCATGACACTCCTCAACCCAAGCGCATCCGATAGAGGTACTAAACAGCCTGGTTGGTGACGCACAGAGGCATGGCCACTCACCACGATGGTGTTTGGCCGTGGTGGCGCCGATGCCGGTGAATAAACCTTGCCTAACGCCTCCACCGCTACTCCTTAACCATCTATGGACTGCGTTAAACAATGTAGAAGTCCTAATTGAGCCGCTACTACATTCAAGCGCGTCGGCCACGGAAACGACATCTACCCACATCTACCGGGGACGGCCACGCGCGTCGACAAACCTCGGCCCTAATTGAGTCAACCAGCTACCCTAGGAGTAAGAGGGCCTCACCAGACACATGATGGACAGACTGGGCGAAAGCACGAGGCTCGGCAAGATGGTCGGCCATGAAAACGGGGTGACTCTGGTTCCCAGCGAGCACGGCGACGGCGTCTCCGGTGACCCGCGGCTCCACCGGCGAAACCATTGCACGAGCGCGATCACCAAGTCAACCATTACGCAAGGCACAACCTAATTGAAACGGCGAAGCACCACATGACGCACTGGCCGTGCGCCCGCTCTGGCAGCCATGGCGGACCGCCGCGAGGGGAACGCCCCGCCTCACCTCACTGTAGGCCGAACGAACGTCGGGACGACTTCACTCGAAAGCTAACTATCCGAGCTCGTAGTGTGCACAGTTAATTAGAAAACGGTGGAGTCTGTGAGGCCAATTGCAGGGGTGACGCCTACGGACTTATGGCGGCCGGTGATTGCAAAATTTCAAATGGGCGCCCCTCCCTTGTTCCAACGCCACAGTGGCCGGGTAGGCACGACGCCGTCCTTCCACTCGACCACCACACGTGCACGATACAAAGAAAAGGGCCAGCGCATCAGTTAGGCTTTGGCGCGGCTCGGCCAGCCGACGACCTCCAAGGCGGCGTGGCGATAGCACTCTGGCGTGGCCTCACGCAGCAAGCGTGAGAACACGCAAGCGAGGCGAGCCCACGCGCGAGCACAGTCAATGTCAACGGGAGCAGTAACTAGACTGCAGCGCCAGACGACACGCAGTGTGAGCGATGCGACGCGACGCGAAAGCAAAGATCCTCTGGACGGACGCTACCGGAGGAGGGGCGAGCAGCCGAGCATGGCGGTCCCAAGCATGCAAGCGTGCGGGTGCTAGAGCAAGGCAGCGAGGACCACAGCCAAGCCAGCGTAGGGCCAATGCGTGGTGTGTCTTGCGAGCAGCGCTTGACGGTGGCCGGCTTGCGATCGTGATCACGGCGTGCTAGGGTAGCAACGCGGCGCGGCTAGTAGGGTGAGAGGATACGAGATGGGGGATGGCGGTCGCGGCGGCCCGTCGCGTGTGTGCCCGCACAAGTCAAAGATTGGCGACGCTGGCGGCGCAAGAGCGCGTGCTAAGCGAGCCAGCCGCAGAGTGCCAGGTCGAATAGGTGGTGACCGCGCCCCAAGCCACAGCATGGGCCAACCCGTGGCTTGCACGCTTTTTAAAGCCGTTCAAAACTCAAACCCAAAGATTCAAGAGCCGAACCAGCTATTCTACACTCAAGAGGGTACCTAGGGCTAGCCAACCGTGCCAAAACATCTCGCCACTTCTTAACCCGATTGCTCTACAAAAATTGTCGAACATGGCTTCGTCGACCCATTTTCAAACTTACGCGAAATGACTAAACTTCGAATGGTTTCGCGTCGAATCCTTTTTCCAAGCTACTTGATATGCTAGCTAGTGAACCTCGTCCTCGACTGCACATATTTCATTGTCGCCTACGAAGTTCGGGCAACCAATTTTACTACACTCCGCCGATGCATTCCGTAGTATTTCCGTCCGATAAAAATTCAGTTAGAATACTAAACGATACAATGCGACCTGAAGGGTAACATTGGTTTCTTGTTTCAGATGAACGTTTCAAGTGTCGTACATTGATTTATACTTTATGTTACACACATTTACACATAAGCAGGGATGAAAACAGTACGGATATTTTCCGACCGTATTCGAGACCGAAACCGTTTAGAGGGGTTCAGATCTGTCCGTATCCGAGTCCGAATATTCAACATCCGATACCGTATCTGTATCCGAATACTTAAATCGCATATTTAGGATGTCGACATCCAATCATATCCTATCCGGCATGACTGACACTATCTGTATTTGAATCCGAATCCGACCAGAAATATGAAAACAAATGTAATATCAACCATATTCGTCCGTATCCGATCCGTTTTCATCCCTACACATAAGTATGATGCTCATGCAGTGGTTTAGCAAAAATTGTACAATGTAACACCGAGGGTGTTACAAGTAACTGCTAACCCAGGCTCCTGCCATCTCTGACGGTGGTTGCAAGGAAGGATTGAGCGAAAGGCTTCCTCAAAAGGAAAAGCTAGGCGAGCTGGAGTGCACCGAGTGGTGGTAGCGATGGCTAGGCCAGACTCTGCTAATAAAGGCAGAGCGGTCAATGGTCCTGGCACAATCTACCAAGGTTCCTGCGCGGGATTACTATAATGAATCAACCGAATTTTTCGCGCGTTCTTGATGGACGATGCCCGAGGCCATTAATGACTAATACGGCTATAGGGCAAGGGCCCGACAAGAGCGCAGAAAGGAGTATGGGGAGACGTGGGTCACGGCAGGCGTGAACCACCAGCGAACGCGGAGCACGAAGTCACAGTGCAGTAATAACTCCGGAACAAGAACGGGTCAGTCGTGCCCAATATGACTCGCGTGACATCCATGCAGAGCGCATCTATCAGCAATACGGTCACGACAACTAAAGCAGTACCAGCGCGACTGACTTAAAAATCGTATATTGCGCGAGAGTCGGTCCACCGGAGAAAGCCTAGTTAAATCTATTCCGGCTGCTTAACTATAATAATAGGGCTACTTTTATCCTTCCTCGTTAAATGCCCTAAGTTCTGGTATTTCAGAACAAAAACATATTTTCACTCGCCTCTATAAACACCGAAACTCGTGAAGGATAAGTTACATCCAAGAGATGCTTCTTGTTTTTCTTTTTATTGATATAACTTTTTTTTAAGGCGAAGGAAGTATAACTCTCTCTTTTTGCATTCATAGTTGGGCCCAGCAAAGAGCGGTGAGTGGAACCAACAATTAAACAGATCATGCGTGACCAAATTTTTCCTCATGGCCACCTAAAATACAAGTCCTTTTTCTTTTCTTTTTTTCTGTAGTTAGTCAGTTAGTGCTCAGAAAGAATATTCAATTTGCATTTCTGTGCTCAGGACTCGTGACTCATAACTGACGAGGCAATTAAGGTGCAGTGCAGATCACCCTCTTTTTTTACATGTCACTGGACTCAATTTTGCGCTGGAAGGAACGAAGCTGCATTTTCTTCTTCCTCGATTGATCCGCTGTAACGGAAGACATTGACGACAGCTGAAAGCGCAAGATAGCAGCCGCACCTGCGCCCGTGCCTTCCTGGAGCCTTCTTCTTCTTCTTCTTCAACTGTGCTCATCCCATCACGTTCACGGTACTGTACATGCCACTAGCTAGCTCCATCAAAACTCTGATTTTTATGCACCCATCTTGACATGAGACAACCACTGACCCACCCATTTTTCGCTCTCCCTGCCATGCCATTCCCGTGAGACCCAGACTGACAGACAGAGTTGCTGCGACTGCGAGTGCGAGGCCGAGGCCGAGGTGAGCTCATTCACTAGCCCAAAAGTTCCAACTGTTTTTACCTCCGGCCGGCCATCGGGCCATGGCCGCAACGCCGGAGGACGTCGCGGAGCCCGAGCCCTTCTCCCCCTCGGTCTTCCTCGACCTGCCTCCGACGCCCCATCCCCAACCCGACGGCGACGGCGAGGACCTGCAGGCCTCGTCGGACGACATGGTGCTCCCCTTCATCCGGCGCATGCTCATGGAGGAGGAGGAGGACACCGACGACAACATCTTGTACCAGCAGTACCCCGACCACCCTGCGCTCCACCTGGCACAGCAGCCCTTCGCACAGATCCTCTCGGCGGGCTCCACCTCCACTGCGACACACACGCACGCCGCCGCCAACGAGTCTGCTTCCGGCTCGTCGGCCACCACCAACTCCAACGGAGCCCCCGCATTCGCCAACGCTACCTGGCCATATGATCCAGTCGAGCTCTCCCAGCTGCTCCTCTGTAGGACACGCTCCGGCACGGGAGCCGGACTCGACGGTTTCACCGGCGGTGATGCCAACAACTCCTTTTCCTCGCCGGGACAAGGCAGCGCCAGTGCGTGCGGCCAGGCCCGCGCGTTCTTCAATGGCGGCGACACGGCCACCATCCAGAGCTCGATCCTCGGATACGGGGTGGGGGTTACCATGGACATGCTCAACCAGGCGTTCCTCAAGGGAATGGAGGCCAACAAGTTCCTGCCCACCACCACCATCGCCATTATTGGAGTCGACGGCGACGCCACCTCCAAAGAGAACCTGCCCATCAGGGAAGGCAGCATGCTGCCTCGTGTCTTTGCCTTACCCAACACCAACAGTGTGGTGGATGGCAGAGTCAGCGGCAGAGGCTGCAAGAACCGGCACAACTGGGATGACTTGGACGACGACGCCGAGACCGACAGGAGGAGCAACAAGCTGCTGGCACCTGAGCTGGAGGAGAACAGCGAGCAGGTCGACGACGTGTTCGTCAAAGGATACGAGATGGCCATTGAGAAAATGCATGGCCTGAGCATCAGCGACAACAACAGCGAGCAGGTCGACGACGTGTTCGTCAAAGGAGAACAGCGAAGAGGAAGTCAGCAGCGCAGGCCAACGAGGCGGTGGACCACTGGACCTGCGCACCTTGCTCACCCACTGCGCGGATGCCGTGTCCACGGGCAACCGCCGCAGCGCGGCCGAGGGGAGACGCCTCACAGAGGCTGGCGCACTGTTTCGCCCAGGCGCTCGAGGCGCGGTTCGCCGGCACGGGGGCGCAGGTGCACAGGTAGCTCGTGGCGAGGCTCACCTCCGGTGGTGTGGACTTCCTCAGGGCCTACAAGCTGTACCTGGAGGTTTGCTCCTTCAAGATGATCGCGTTCAGGTTCGCCCACATCGCCATCTGCAAGGCCATTACAGGGAGGAAGAAGGTGCACATCGTGGACTACGGTGAGCATCACGGCTTCCACTGGCCACCTTTGCTGGAGGCGTCGAAGGATCGGGACGGCGGGCCGCCGGAGGTGAGGATCACGAGCATCGACCGGCCGCAGCCCGGGTTTCGTCCGGCTGCTCCGATCGAGGAGACCGGGCGCCGGCTCAGTGACTTCGCTCGCCGGCGTGGCGTTCCGTTCAGGTTCCGCAGCGTCGTCGCGTCGAAGTGGGACTGTGGGAGATGGTTTGCGCCGACGACTTGGACATCGAGCCTGACGAGGTGCTCATCGTCAATGGCCTGTTCCATTTCGGGAAGCTGATGGACGAGGGCGTCGACATTGACAACACAAGCCCTAGGGATATGGTCCTGTACTGCTACTCAGCGATGTTTGACATCATGGATGCAACGACTCCACGGGACAACGAAGAACGCTTGCTGGTTGAGCAGGACATCCTGGGGTGTTACGTCTTGAATGCCAGTGCCTGCGAGGGCTCAGAAAGGGTGGAGCGTCCGGAGACATATAAGCAATGGCAGGTGCGAGGCCACCGTATTCTGAAGGATGGCTACCACAAGGACTTTGTGGTCGATGTGGGTCAACAGTGGCTCCTTCAAGGGTGGAAGGGGCGTATACTCTATGCCATGTCGACATGGGTTGCAGATGATGCTATCTCACATAGTTGTAGCCATCCATTCAACAAGCACGATACATGTTTCTGAATCACCTATGAGCAACATCATCACTAGCTGTTAGGCAGTTGTGGTTCAGCAGTAGACTTCACTGAAACATGGTCTGACAAATTAATAACGTATATAGGAGAATAAGTATTGACATAGTAACTAATGTTTTGTAAAATGACATGCATAAATATATTCTCATGTTTGTCCTTAGGATCTTAGATATAAGTTCTTGGGCAGGCTGACGCAGAGCTTATATTCTGTAAAATATAATAGTAACCAGAAGATCCTTATGCGTCTTTAATTTTTACCAGTTGATTAGCAATTTTATGGATTGCTTGTTTGAATTTTTGTGAAATGAGGTATTTATATTGTGAAGTTGAACTGGTTTGAGTGGAAGGTGTGGTCACGCATACAAAAGATGCACCAAGGTTTGGTTGAGTCCTCTCTAACACGAACCTGCTTCTTTTTTCATTGATATTTTTTTTTAATATGTTGATGCTTAGATCGGCTATGCACTACAAGGTGTCAGAACGCTAGGATCGCAAACAGGTTGAAGGCGGGCCAGATTTGACCTAGCAGACTTTCAAATCGGCTATAACCTAAAAAGTGTGTTCATAGACGAACACTTCACCTTATGCCAACGACGATGAGCGCGACACACAAAACACATCATCGGAGGAGCCATGTTGAGAGCGCAATACGCGAGAGACGCTAGCGAAGTCTCTTGAAACCTGAAACCCCACACGCCCAGGAGACACCCCATCGAGGCATGGGGCGACTATGGGTTGCCATACCGGCCTGAATGCTCTAGAGCTTCATGTCATTGAACCAATAGCCATCAGCAGAAACAAAGGACGAAAATCAATTAAAGATTGGAAAAGTAAGGTAGCGGATAAAACTAAGATAGATTGGTTTCTTTGTTTGTTATGTGTTCGACACCTTAATCAGCATTGTTCTCACGTATACAGAGAAGGGATGGTCTATCACAGTAGGAAACCTGTTCCATATATAATCAACAAGTTTCCTACATGCTGATTGGGCAAGTTTCCATAGAGATTGGCTTGAAAATGTCTCGCATAGGTAAAACTGGCCTTGGCTGGTTGTTTAAGTTTTGTGTTTTTACTGCAATTTGGACCCTTTTCGGATGCATTTGAGTTTCCAATATGACATTGGACCTCCCGATTATATTTTTGTTGTCAACAAAATGTAAAAGACATTTTCTATTGGTGTATACTCACTCCATCCAAAAAGTAATGCACATTTCATTTTTCGAGAAATCTCTTATTTTTAAATTGATCTGAATTTATAGAAAATAGTATTAACTTTGTATCTCTAAATAGATTTACAATATATCATGTGTCGGTGTTTTGGACCGACGGGTCCTCAACCAACGAGTGAAAATGTACTGCGTGTCCCTATCCCGGATGGTGATGCAAAGAGACATAAGGTTTATACTGGTTCAGGCAATAGGTGCCCTACGTCCAGTCTGAGAGAGCGATCTTGTATTCCTTGCACCGAAGTGCTTGTAGTAGGGGTTTACAAGCAGGGCGAGAGAGGGGGTTAGTCCCAGGTCTCTGCGTGGAGCGGCGTGGGTTGCTTGAGATGTTGATCTCTCGCAGTGAGGAGCGTGCGTATTACAGAGTGTTGCTCGTTGCTTGCGCGTGTGTCTATCTGAGCAATGTCTCCGTGAGTGTGTGTTCGTTCGTCGGGGTGTGTGTCCGCCCTTTAGAAATGGCCCCGGTCACCCCCCTTTTATAGTTGAAGGAGAGGACAGGGGCGGTACATACGTGGTGTTCTGTGAGCGGAGGCGGTGTGTCCGAGCCCTGCGCTTGTCACTGTGGCGGTATGGTCGGTGGAGCGGTCGTGCCGGTCACGCCTGGTCCTGCGCGACGTGGGAGCTCCTGTGGTGGCAAGCGTTTTGGAAGCGTGCCGGTTGCTGTATGTCTGACCGGCGTGGAGTGCCGAGGCCGGGTTGATGCGATGGCGCGGGTGTGCTGACTCCGAGGATACAGGAGCTTGGCCCTATGCGCGACGTGGGAGCTCCTGCAGCCTGACGCAGGGTATGGCGACGTGCAGGTGTTGACAACATAGAGAGCCGAGGCCCAGTCGATGTAGAGGCTGGGCCGTCGTGGGGGGCTCGGCGGGCGCGAGTCCCGAGGCTACAGGAGCCCGGATGCGAAATAGCCGAGGCTCGGAGGGAGCAGTTGGTTTTTTATGCTGATTCCGAGGCTACAGGGACCTGGACTTGACTCTGTACGCCGTGCTGTCCTTGGAGCAGGTGGGGTTAGGCAGTATAGTGCCGCATGGGTGTCAGTCGTGGGCACAGTGCCGAGCACAGCGGCCGGTAACCCTGCCCCGTCCTGTCCCGGACTGCATGGCGCCGATGCGACTCCCGTCCCGTCGGCCACTCTGTTGTACTGCGCCGGCGTGTGGCTGACGTTGCGGGAGTGGTTGAGTGCTTCAGTTGGATGTGACGCTTCGTCAGGGAGGTCGGTCAAAGCTGCGGCGGGGCAGATGCCGAGCCGGCCTCGGGCGAGACGGAGAATCGGTACCTCGGGCGAGGGGTCTCGGGCGAGGCGGAGAGTTGGTACTTCGTCCGAGGCCCTGCGCGTGGGCCTCGGGCGAATCGGAGAATCGGCCGAGGCCTTGCGGCGTGAGGCCTCGGATGAATCGGAGAATCGGCCGAGGCCTCGTGGTTGTCTTTTGGCTTTGATATTTACAAGGTCTAAGCAGTTTTTTTTTCGATTCTTACTTATGGTACCCCTTTTTATGGTATCCGACATCATGATTAGTTTAATAATAATTATTCACTATCATAGATATTAGTATTTTTCAATAAACTTGGTTAAAATTAAAATTAGGATACGTGTATTCATTTTAGATGGAGGAACATAAGACTCAGCAATGGTTAGGCTCAGCGGAGAGCAGTCAGTGAACCGAACAAATCGTGCGAGGGTCACATTTTTCCTCATGACCTGGACTTGCCACCTAAAATACATAAGTCCTTTTCTTTTCTGTTAAAAGTTAGTGCTAAGAAAGGATATTCAATTTCTACATGCTATTTCTCTGTCCTTACTAATGAGGTGTGGTTACATCACAGATCGCATTTTCTTACAGTCGTCTAGCTATATCTGAACGCAAAGTTTATTACGCGGCCGCCACGCGCTCGCGCGACCCGCGTGCCCGCGCCGCCCCGACGAAGAGGAAGAGGAAGGAGCCTGCGCACGCGTCGGAGAGGAAGGAGGAAGCTCGGGTTCCAGTGAGGGGGTCGTCGGCATCGGAGACGATGAGCTCGCCGGCCGTGCCCTCTTTCTTCTCTAATTCCGGCGAGCTTACAAGGCTGCGGAGGGGAAGGAGGTCGGGCAGCTTAGGGGCCCTGGCGGCTGCGGAGGCGGCTGGGCAACGGAGGGCGGGGGCGCCATGGCCGGAGGGAGGTCGCCGCTGCCGGAGCTCGCCGGAGGAGGTCGCCGCTGCTGAAGCTCGCCGTCGCGGGAGGGGGAGGGGAAGAAGGCGGCTGCCGCGGAGCCGGCAAACCCTAGCGCGCCACGGCGGGTCGGTGGTCGGCGACGGGGTGAGGACGAGGAGGAGGGCGGGGCGGAGCAGCGAGGGTGGGTTGAGGGCGGCAATTTTGGGCTAGAACGTTGATGCATTTCTTCTTCCTTCCTCACTGTACTCACTTCGTCCCAAAATACTATTCAAATACTTGACAGTCTCACTTTCGAATGGACCTTTCTTTTATCTCAATACACCTTTCTCTTTTCTCAATCATCTATATCTCTATCTTTCCTTCTTGTCTTCTTTGCACAGCAACTTTTTAATTTTCTTTAATTATCGCGTCTAAACTAAAACATCTTCTACTTTAAGACGGATAGAATAGCAGATAAAGTCCTTTCTACATTGTTCGACAGAAGGAAGTGTACGTCAGGTCTCTGTGAGATCTGAGTGACGCATAGCATCTGCATGCACCTTCACGGTGCCCCTGCCATCACGTCAACTCCCTCTTCAGTTTACAAGCTGCATCAATCAATGCTCTGATTTTTATGCACACCCATCGGCCATCGCTGCCATATTGGACCTGTTTGCTCCCTCTAAAATGATTTCTCAATTTTTCAACAGTCAAACGATTTAAAGTTTAACTAAAGTTATATTTAAAAATAATAAATATTTATGATATAAAACAAGTATTGTTAAATTAATTATAAAATATATTTCTTATAATGAATCTAGTAGAAGACATAAATATTAGGGTGTGTCTCCGCAGCAAGTGGCTGCAGTTTTGCTTTTTCATCAGACGACGATGGCAGCCGTTGGATCCTAATCCTACCGCTCAGGAGTCATCTTCAACCTCCTCCCGTCCCTCTTCTTCCTCTGCCCTCCTCCTCGCCCTCGCCGCCGCCGTCGCCCCGCCGCGGGCACGCTAATGTTTGCTTGGAGCTCCGCGGCCTCCGGCGAGAAGAAGCTCGCGAGGCTGATCGGACGAGAAAAAGCCTCCGCGAAGTCAGCTTCCTTCGTCGCCGTGAGACGGAAGATGGAAGGCTGCGGTCCCTGGAGATGGAACTCCTTACGGCCTTAGTAGGGTGGTTGGAACAGGCGCGTAGAATGACCATAACGTCCTTGTGTTCCAGTGAAGTTGTACCTAGCTAGCTCAACGATGGCCAGGATGGTATTGACTGACACAGTGATGGGCTGAACAAGGATTGGGCTCCAGTCTCAAGAGTAGGGCTGGGGAAGGATTAAAGTTGGGCCTGGACCCATTGCGAGTCCTAGCTACTTACTGGCTTTTACTTTTCATCATTTTTTTCATATATGTACTCCCGGTTTTCTGAAGTTCATTTTCTGTTATATACCATTAGATTAGATTTGGTGCTTCCCTTGCGTTTGGAAAAGAAGAAAGCAGATGCATGACTAAGCACTGAAGTTGTACGGATGGGTTTTTCTTGTTCGTCGACGACTATTAGTGAATAGCGTACAGGGGCTGCAGTGCAGCAGGAGAAAACGAAGAGCTGAATCAAGAGAGAGACCAGAGGCATGTTTGGATCCTTTGTTGAGTAGTATCATATCGCCTCGCCGAGGCCGAGCTAGGAACTGAAACGGGCAGCGCACGCCAGCAAGCTTTCCCTCTGCTGCTTTAACATAGGTTGGCATAAACCTTCTTCTATCCGTTTAAAGCTTTACTTTAGTCTAACACCGTGGAGGGCCTAAGCGGATGGAATTGATACCGATAAGGCCCTGTTCGCTTGAACTTATCGGCCCGGCTTATCGTCCATGGTACAGTGTTTTCTCTCACAACAAAACAACATCAGCTGACTTATCAGCCGCAAAAACCATCAGCCGAATATGGCGAGTAATGGCGCTAAAAAAGAAGTTCCCCACTGCCCATCTACTGTATAAGTTTTTTTTACAATCTACTGTATAAGTTAGCAGTCTGTAATAAGCTGACTGTGGTGGGTGAATTTCTGAAGCGGTTGCAATCGTCATGCAAACGTTGAGGTTTGTTGCATAAGAGAAAACGGTGAACGAACTCAATGTCAAGGCAGACGCTTTCTACATTTTCCATCAGGTGCAGTAAAACGATCGGGACCTGTTTTTTCAGTAAAAAAGCAGAAACCGCCGCTGAGAGGGGATCTTCGATCTTCAACGACAGCGACTTTCGATTGCTCGTGCGTTTCAGGCGTACTACAGTGTTTCGATTGAAACCGCATAATATATAATATCTCATTGGCATAGAGCAACCCATGCCCCTTCCACCCTTGCAAGAGCCATTGGTGATCCACATCAACCACAAAGTCCTTGTCTGCATGGGTTGCCAATGATAATATCTCATTGCCATAATATATAATATCTTCGTAATATATGTGAGATGCTTGATTAGGAGGAGTTGTAATCTTTTTGGAGGCATAGGAAGAGTAATTAATATGTAGCCAACAACCAATTTTATGGATTACTTGTTTGACTGTCCATGTGGTAAGGTATCTGTCCTAAGAAGTCTGGTCACGTGAAGCTGACAAAACAATTTTAATGATTAGTGGTGAGGTATATATTTGTACGTCCTGAGGATTTCACATCTGTTGTAACATCACGAGGATTTTGGCAGTTCCCTTGGGTCTCCAAAGTGGAAACTTGCGTGTGATTCAGCATGAAAGCATCATCATACCGGTTCTACAAAGTACTCCTGCCTGTCCCAAAAGAATAGTTTTAAAATAAATCTGCAAGTTTTTCTAAATTTACTAAATTTATAGAAAATAAGATCAACATTTATGTCTTGCAGATATGTTTACTATTTGAAGAGATGACATGCTGGCGATTGAAAGAAACAAGAGGCCACCTCTAGCAGCTACAACCTAACCCAAAGATAGTCTCTGGACCTACTCCTTTGCGCCTACAAAACACCATAGTCCAAATGGCACCCCTCCAAAATAGTCGTAACTACCAACCATACATCCAGGGAAAAACAAGTGAAAATGCAGTCAGCAAGCATGATTGTAAGCACAACTATGTTTGGCTTAACGCCCCTCCTACAACTCGATTGTAATGATCCTTCTTAATAAATGAAGCGAAGTCGTTATTCCAAAAAAAACTAATATGGTAACAAATTTTAAATTTAACTTGCTAAGAATTTGCAGTTAAATTTTTCAAAATTAAAACAAAATTTTGAAAAAAAAATTGCTACCCCCACTCACCCCACCCTAACAAAGAGAAAAATGACTTTTCAGGCTCTGCCATGCTAATTTAGATAGTTTCCACACATGGTGACCTTGCTAGATGGTTTGCTAGATCATCTCTAAAAGTTCTAAAAAAATTGTTAAATCAATGAGTTTTTCAAGAGGCTAAGAAAAAAGTTGAGAGTATATTTGCTTGGTTCCTACAACCGTTTCAAAAATCTCCACAAAAACTTTTATATTTTCCACTGTCCACTGTACGTAGTCTACTGACAGGAAGACGATGCAGTTCGGTAGCCGGTCACATCTGTCTGCCTTCCCCGAACCTTCTCCTTGCTGTCACAGCTCTTGACTATAGCCACCCAGGTGGCCCGGCCCGAGTGTTGTCCCTCCTCCATCGACCATGACCCATTCCATTTCCGTCTTGGTTCTTCGTCTTCACCACGGAACACCACCTCCAGCACCAGTGAAGTGGTGACCGCCGGCCGGCAATGGCAGCCGAGCCAGAGGACATCCCCGACGAGGAACCCTTCTCCCCTTCCATCTTTCTTAACCTGTCCCCGACTCCTCCGCACCCCGGCGATGAGCAGGACCCGGCGGCAGCCTCGTCATCCAACTCGTACCACCAAGCTCCGCAGACCTCCACTGAGATCCTGTCCATCGTCTCCGACCCGTGCGTCGCCAACACCATTGATGTCGGAGTAGGCACATGCTTCCCCGACACCGCCCCCGTGTGGGACGGCGTGACCTGGCCTACGACCCGGTCGAGCTCTCGCAGAAGCTCCTTTCTTCTACGACTACTCCTCCATACCCAAACAGCATTGGACGCGACGGCGGACTCACCATGGGCCTAAGCTGATAGAATTGTCACCGATGCACCCATTTAATTAGCCTGCTCAGTTTCAGTAGTAGTCCTCATTTTCTTCTTTTCCTTGTCTGTTTCATGAACTTTCCCAGCGCCCGTTCCGGTTTTATTTGTAAGCTGAACTATTTTGTTGTTTAATGTCAATAAATGTGCTGTAGGGTGCAAACCCCTCCAGTTTCTCTCAAAGAAAAGATAGTTGCGTATAAGTTTTAGCAGTCTGTAATAAGTCTAGAGTTCACTGTGGTAGGTGAATTCCTGAAGGTGTTACGTGTTAGAATCGTCATGCAAACGTTCAGGTTCATAGTGTCAGAGAAGACAATGAATGAACTCATGTGGAGGCAAGCCCTTTCTACATATTCCATCAGGTGCAGTAAAACGACCGGGACATTATTCAGTAAAGAAAAAGCAGAAACCTCCGCGGAGGCCGGAGGGGATCTTCAACGACAGAGCGTGTGCTCGAGGCTCGGCTGCTCGTGCGTTTGGATTGAAAACCGCTTTTCGTCTTCCTTGGTCTCCGTCGTCCACAGTCGTCTGCTCTGCCCTGCTCAGAAGAGAAAAGAAAAACAAACATTTCCTGACTCTGCTGCGTTCACGGTCGCATCTGGCGGCCGCCTCCTCCACCTGCTGCCCATCCGTCCCGGTCCCGCCCCGGCATCGTCAAGGTCCAGTCCAGCTTCCCCTGTTGTTTAACGAAAAGCTCCGTTCCGATCCATCAAATTCAGAGCTCTCTTGTTTTAGAGTTTATCTACCCAAGAACCGTGTGTTTCAGCAAAAGGTAGCACATGGTTGGTTGTTGGCTGTAAAACACACGATTTGTAACGGAGAAAAAATCATATATTTTAGCACAAGCTAGCACATGGTTGTTGGTTGCTTGCATAACACGTGATTTTCAATAGAGCAAAAACCATGTGTTTTAGCACAAGCTGACACACGGTTGTTGGCTGCTTCTAAAATAATGGATTTTTAAAGAAGACCCACGTCGAGGAAATCTGTTATAATTTATGTGCAACTCAAGAGTAAAACAGTACAACCCATTAATAAAAATTATAAATTAACCCATTTAACAGCAGTAGCAGCCCATAATAAAAGCCCAAAACCATGAATACATAGGAATATAAAAACTTGAGAGAGAAACAAAGCAAAAACAGATCTGCTGCGTGGGGAAAGCCTCTGCTCTGCTCACAGAGCAGGGGAAAGGGGGAGACATCAGATTGCAAAGAAGAACGGGAAATTTCAAGAAAAAATGCTACAAGACTGATCCATACCTCATCAGCAAAGGTTAGTATCACAATCTTTTGAATCTATTTTCTGAAAAAGCAACAAAAAAATAGCAACTCGGATCAAAGACTAGGAGAATGTAGATCCATGGAAAAGATATTCAGGATGGCAAAGATGGCCTGCTGCTTGTGCTTGCTACAACAGCAGAGCGTGGCCCTGGTTGCTCAGTGTGCGCAAGAAGCAGATCCAGCACTCGGTGGTTCTAATGCAGTCTAAAGGTACAAACAAACCTACAGAAATAAAAAGAAACCAAGACAAAAGTCTACTAGCTTTTGCACCATCTTACAAAACCACCTATGATGTACATAAAAATAAAGACAAACTAGCACACAACCACACAAGCATGACCAAAAACCTTGATGACTCATACCTGCACATATAGCATTGTGTAGAACTACGTGTCCTTTTACAGCTGCTTTCATTAGATCAATACCATGGTCAAGTGGATACTTCACAGTGGATATAACACCTGACTGTGCAGAGGCCACAAACGGTGTTGCACCTGCAAAAGAAAAACATAAAAGTGCAATTTATATAACTCACACTGTCAGGTGCCAAAGAGTTACACATATGAGAGCATACAATTTTCAAAAGCACAAAAATGCTAAAATAAGAGTTATATGTATGAACCTCCACTTGCAGCCATATTTCGATCATACCCTAGTTCCTCAACTAATTATTTGCAGACATACAAATGGCCCTGGCATGCTGCTGGATCACAATTTTCTATGCCAAGTGCAGCATACAACTGTGCACAAGGAGCAGATCCAGCACTTGGGGGTTGTGATGTGGTCTAAAAGGCTAGAAACACAGAAGATCATTAACAAATTGACCATACTTCCGTGGCCAACCCATGGGCTACGCCTCTAATTGACCATGATTCATAAATTAAGTAGAGTCTGCCTATCCATCACCCGGCTATTTTTTGTCCATTCTGTCATCCGGGTGTTTAATCCCACTAAGGCCTTGTTTGGATGCATGTGTATCCACTTTAATCCACATATGTTGGAGTGGAATTGAACTATATTCCACTCCAACACATGTGGATTAAGACGAACATGTGCATCCAAACAAGCCCTAAAACACTTGAATATTTTGTGACGGCTGATTCAAGTGTTTGTTTTTCTTTTGATACCCGGATGTCTGCAACCCCTAAAAACATCATACTCTGATCAAAGACTGAATCTGAGTGTTTCATCCCCTTTGACAACTGAATCTGATAAACCATGAGATTCAAAAAATCAACGGCACACAAAAAATCATGCCGCAAAACACAACGTATAACTGTGGTGTGTTTTAGCATAAATCACAATTAATAAAATACATTTTTTTCAATAGGAGGACAAATACAAATATCTGAGATGTGTTGCCATAAATCACAAAAAACATTTTTTTCTATGAAAGGACAAGGACAAAAAGTGGTGTGTGCCAGCACAAATCACAATTAACAGAATTATAATCTGGAAGCAATATGATATTACAGAAAATATCATAGGCACAAATTAAACCCTTGATCGAGGATGAGCTCTTTCTAGAGGAGGGGAGAGATGTTATTGTTGGTAATAACTATAGGCGCTGTCGTAGGGGCTGATTTGGTGGGAAAGGATCAAGGGATCAAATCAGGAAAGCTTGAATTAGGGAGAGGAAAGAGTTTAATTAGGAGATAATGAAGCTGTAATCTCCTTTATATGCGGTGGTGATCAAGGAAACAGACAATGACAACCCAATTCCTATTCTCATCTCCTATCTTTGTTCTCTCATCTCCCTGTTGTTCCCCACACCAGCCACCACAGGTAGGAAACCAACGGCCGAACGGCCGGTGACTTCCCATTCCTATCCTATCCGGTCACTTCCCCCACGATCATGACACATGCTTTGTGAGAGGAGTTTCAGTATGATGTTTACCTAGGTTTCAGAGATAACAACAAACATAGAATCTGAATAGGTATTTAAGGAAATTTGGGTCCAATGACTATGCCATTTAACCTATCTTATGCCCTTACTCACCCTCCTTAGACAAACCATGAGGCATTAAATATATGAAATACTAAGTTCTAAGCTAATCCATTTCTCTTTTGATCTGCAGGTTGGTTGTTCAAAATAAACATTGAAAGTTATTATAAATTTGCTTCGAACAATGTATATATCAAGTATACTCATGAGGTAAATTAAATTTCCACATATTGCATATGCTCAGAACTACAATTGCGGTGCTCAATACTTGCAATTTACATTATTGCTGATTGCAATGAATTAACTTGCAATTTCATTTGTTTGGTTTTCATGAACAAGAGTGATTAACAGGAACAAAGCACTACAACTAGTTGACAGCAAGCACGGGACAGAACCTTCTCCCACTGTAAACTAATTTACACAAACATCTAGTTGATGAACATCAAACAATGACATAATGCTGATATATTTTAACGCAGTTCTAGCCTTCTAGGAGCGTCCCATCCACAGCATAGGAGAAGGGCTTCTATTGTTTGGAGGAAAGTCATCTATAACTAAATCATGGAAGGCAGTAGAGATTAACTTAACTAACAACACATATTTCCATCCGCGGCTCTCTCACTAACACACGAAAACACATACAAGCAAGCAATCACAAAAACCTGATGTGTATGGACACAGAGAGAATAAACAATTTACAATTCTATTTATGTTAGGTGGGCTACTGTATCGAGAGCAGCTGCTACAATGCACCCTTCTTCGTGACACGGTTTCGGGAGGCATTGTTCTATTACTCTGCATTATTTGACATGATGGATGCGGTAGCCCCCCGGGACAACGACGAGTGTGTGTTGGTTGAGCAAGACCTCTTTGGACAGTGCGCCTTGAACGCCATTGCTTGTGAGGGCTCGGATAGGGTGGAGCGCCCTGAGACGTATAGGCAATGGCAGGCGAGGAACGATCAGGCAGGATTGAGGCAGCTATAATTGGATCCCTGATATAGTTGAGGGCATTAGCCAGAAGGTTAAGGACAAGTACCACAAGGACTTTGTCATCGATGTGGATCAACAATGGCTCCTGCAGGGGTGGAAGGGGCGCATACTCTATGCCATGTCTGCATGGGTTGCCAATGATAATACTCCTATCTCATAGTCACTGGCCAGTGTTGTAATATACACGCAAGATGTTTGATTAGGCTCTGTGCTCCTTTTGTGCTTAGGTTATTAGCTACAGGTTGTGAACAGGCTGCTGCAAAGCTTGTGTAAATGTAGTGCAAACGAAGGTTCTGGTTGTGTGTTACTACCCTCATCCTACTGTCTACCCAACAACCATGTGTTTGTTTCAGCACAAGCTAGCACATGGTTGTTGGTTGCTTGCATAACACATGATTTCTAACAGAGAAAAAACCATATGTTTTAGCACAAGCTAGCACATGGTTGTTGATTGCTTGCATAACACATGATTTCCAATAGAGAAGAAACCATGTGTTTTAGCACAAGGTAGCACACGTTTTTTGCCTGCCTCTAAAATAATGGATTTTTAAAGAAGGCCCACGTAGAGGAAATCTGTTATAATTTCTGTGCAACCACAGTTAGCCCATTAACTAAAATGACAAAATGGCCCATTTAACAGCAGCAGCCCATAAGAGAAGCCCAATACCATAAATACATAGGAATATAACTAAAATTATAAATTGGCCCATTTAACAGCAGCAGCCCATAACAAAAGCGCAAAACCATGAATACATATGAATATAAA